TAAATCGTCACTTTTGATCTTGTCTATAGGCCATAAGACAAGAATATTCAAGTAATATAGATACTTGCATTTATTTTTCAATTAAGTGTACAGAAGGCTATTTAATGAAATGGATTTGGAGTAGTAGAAAACCACATCATCATTAACATTCACATACTTAAATGTTACCAATAAGTTTCGCCTACTAAAGTCTAGATTGTCGTGCCTAAATCAATTGTTGATTATTCGTTGGTAAATCTTAAGAATAAAATGACAGATTTCAAAGTTTACATGACTCACAAACCAAAAAATCTTACTATGAAACGTTCTACGCAATTTTTCCACTTGATCGTCATCCAACAAAAAACGATATTTTATTAAAGAAAAAGAATTGTTAGATGTAATAAACAACAATTCAATGCCATCATTTTTTTTTCATTGAGATTTATTTGGTTTCAACAAACAAACGACTCCAATCGAACACAAAGAAAAACAAAATTCAAGCTCTTTTGACGGCTTCCTGCCAGTACAAAAGAACCTTGCACAAAATCAGGTAATGTTCACCATACTGGCTCTCAAACACGACTATTTTTTTTGTAAACTTTGTTATAATTAGACAAAACGAGATCTCTCAAGACCAAAATCGCAAGTGTGATAGACACTCGTATACGACTTCATGCGTCATCAATCATATTAATAGAAATTCTTTTACAATGAGAAAAGTGTGATATTATCTTTTTCATAAGTCTCTCGTTCATCACCCATAAAGACAACCATTTTCTGGCATATTTACTTGCGTACGGTTTTTTAAGATCATGTTTTGATCTGGAGATTTTTTCTAACAATATCCCTCGAAAATTACTATCTGACCTTGCCTGGATCTAAAAGCATTCGGCTGTTGTAAACAAATATTTCATATGTGTGTGCAGCATTTTTTTTGAATAACCAGCGAAAAATTTAGGTGCCTTACTTTCTTCCACAATCACAAAAGTAAGGTTAGGATTCAGTCTGAAGTTCTTCGAGTATTTAGTGATCCAAAGTCACTCATTCTCTGCGCACAATAAAAGAAAGAACACATCGCTTTGTCAATAGAAATAGTACACAATAATAATAGCAGCGGGGTGGAAATTTTATGAGAAAAGAATTTGTTAAATTGTTTCAAATGAAACTCGCTTCTTTTCATCTTTCACGATTACGACTACGTCCTAGTTGCATTCAAACTTATGAAATATTTTCTTTTTCCTTTAGAATTGTACATGATCATTGTCGAAAAAGCATCTTTTTTTTCAACATTCTTCACCGATCATCACTAAGTTTATGTATGCAAACATTAGCAATTTCACGATTTCTACTATTAGTATTTTTGGTTTTATTATCCATTCTATTCATTTGGATTTATCAATCATGCCCACAGCCAACTCATTCCTTTGTTAGTAATGATTGTCAAAAATCTCTCACTGAAAGCGATGGATTTATATGTGAACCGAATTCCGTCTGGAATGAACGCAAACATGTCTTTCATACTCAGAACAAAGAGAATATGATTAAACTTCCGGATACATTCTATTTTTTAACGAATTGGGAACCAAATTTTCATTGTTCTCATGCACGACGTATTGGTGCTCGGGGTGACGGTGGCAAATGGGTCTGTGATCCGTATCGATTGAAATTACGTCACGATTGTTTAATTTACAGTGTTGGATCCAGTGGCGATTTTTCATTTGAAATCGAGATAAAAAAAGTCATACCTCATTGTGAAATTCATGCATTTGATCAAAACCCATACCTATGCCCGACGAATATATGTAGCTTTCATCAGGTTACATTTGGCGATGGAATTCAGCCAAATAGTTCAAAGAGTTGGCTAACTGTTGTTGAAGCACTAAATCATACGAATCGATTGATTGATATATTGAAAATTGATATTGAAGGTGGTGAATATTCATTTTTTCCTCGTCTACTGAACTCGAGTAAGAGTTCGTTGCCGCGACAAATTCTTGTTGAACTTCATCCGATAAATGTTAGTATTATTCATGACTTCTTCGATCGATTGCATAATAGCAATTATGTTATCTACAGCAAAGAAAACAATCTTATAGCTGGTCCATATTTTTTTGAATATGCTTTTCTAAAATTAAATTCACTTTTTTTCATTCCTCCTCACGACAATATGACACATAGATAAATATTATAAATATGACTTCTCCTCTTCTGTTATGAAAATGTATGAGAAAAAAGCTAGAAATAAAATTGGACGTTGCAATTATCCAGTGTTCAGTATCTTTTGAAATAAAGAAATAGCAGTCCATATTGTAGATTATATTTTGCGAATACGTTTGTGTCAAGGAATTTCACCTTTTCCCTACTTTGTATCATCTGTTTCTCGTTAATGGAAAACAGTGAATTCTTCGAAACTTTTATTATTAATAGAGATGATTGAAATCTATTATTAGTAAAAATGTCATTGATTTTCTTTTAGTTCGAGTTGATCTATTCGAAAACTAGAGATTTTTTAACAGAACTGGAAGTTTTGCTTTTCACGGAAAAACGATGCGATAGAGAAATTAACTTTTTGTATAAAAGTTGTTCAGTTTTTAAGAAGTATAACTGCATCGAATAACAAACTAAGAGTAATGTTCCTGACGGAAGTTCATTCTTTTCTCGAAAATCGTTGTTAGAAAAAGAATGGAAGCAAAAAGTCAGAAGAACTCAAATATTCTTCATGCACATTGGATTCTGTACTGAATGATGTATTTTTACTAAAATCTAAAAAAAAACATTTGTCAACGTTTTCGACTCGAGAAATTTTCTATAAACATAAAAGTTGAAGTTTTGATTAATGTGAAACGTCATTTTATTAAGAATTTGTTTTGTAATTTTCAATAGAGATGGATCATTTTAGTTAACGACACTTAGTTAAAAACATTCATTAAATAGCATTAAGTAAAATACCCCACACCTAAATTTCGTTAAACACTATGCAAACAGCTGTTAACTAGGGTTTATTTCATAAAAGACTAAAAACGTTTAAAAGCACATATTAAAGTAGAAGTTACTGCGACAGTCATAACTTTGGATCAAGAGATAAAAAAAGTTTCTTGTATACTTCCACCATTAGGACCTCAACTAACGGATAGTCAAATTGAAGTCGTTGGTTTTGAAAAACTTTAACAGAACTCCATTATCCGTTATCGTTAAGTATGTGATAGCACTATTTCAACTCCTTAAAGTCTATCCTGGTCATCAGTTCAACTCTCATGAGATAAAACTAGCCATCAGTTCGTCCATTCAGAGTTGGAGTTAGGCCATGCAGCTTTTTCATACAAACTACCCTACAGCTTGTTTAGAGATCGTATAGGGATGATATGCAGACTGAAGCTTTTACTATGAACTGACTAGTTTTAAACGAATCATCGATGATCTTACTTATACGTTACTACTTATAAATATCAGTAGTCAATATGTGGTTGATATAAACTGCATAAAAATCGATTACTACTTAGTATTTAATTCAAGTGCTGTTATGCAACAGGTCATTCGACATTCGTTGAGTATGCAATTAAGTGATAAGCGTGATATAAGTGCTAGGGTTTTGTTTTTAGATAATAAGCATTCCATATGCTTTCTAGGTGTAGACGTGGTTGAAATTACTGTCTTCCTCGACACCTACGCTTACATTCAAGCATGCATCCACACTCTGTATGATTTGTTATGATTTTTCGATAAATACAAATTACTAGAATAATTACAAATTCGAACAAACAATTGATAAATAGATGGAAAATGAGAGATGCAGACCAAGGAGTCGGAGAATAATCATTTCAAAGAAAGAAAAGAATATTTTTCAATTCGTGGACAAGAAGAAGCAAAAGACGAGTAAGGATGATATGATTATACAGTGTACTGCGAAGTGTTCGAACCGAGAAAAAATGGTAAAATGTAAATAGAGTTATCACAATTGAAAATATGTCAAAATTGAGAAAATACCAGTATCGAATATAAGGAGAAATTCTGAATCCCAATGAAGAATCTGAATTCAGAACTATAGAGCTATTGCTTGACTTTGATATTGGTACAGAAAAAGTTGGGAAAAACAAGCAAGACTGATGTAGACAAACACGTAAGTTTCAATTATTTAAATTAACATGGCCAGTTAGTCCTCATCACAACATAATTCTTCTTAAAGGAAAGTATATATATTTAGCTAAGCAAATATGAGACGATGTGCTTATCAATAAGATTGCTTATCAGATTTAATTTTTTTCATAGTTTTGAATGTGACAATCTCAAATTCAATATTAGTGGCGTAGGCTACAAGAAGGCTCAACTTCCTTTCACAACTGTTTTTTGATTATAAATGAACAATACACTAAGGGTGTAGATGGGTGTGATTATAGGTGTAAGTTCGGGTTCTCTCTTCGACGAAACCTACATCCATATCCACACACTAACACTTTTTTTCACTCTTAGCTCAATGTACTTTTAATTGGTTAAAGCTTGATAATTGTTCTCTTCTTGCTGTTTCCTTCAATATTGTCTATACACTTTCAGTGGACCACACGACAGCAAATTTACCACCAGTGTCTTGAAGTAAAACTCGACTGTCAAATAGTTTATCAATCGTTCAAAATAGAATCTTTTTTTTACGCGACGTTCTCATATATTATCATGCATTTGAATTCAGTTACTGAATAAATAGCTTGATTGACTGTGTAAATAGAAATCAGGCTCATCGATTGTAAGAAATTCTATCGTCTCATTCTCATTTTTATATTTAATTATTACAAAAGAAGATATTATCTAATGATTGACACCAGTATTCAAGGTTAATATAAAAATATTTGGTTAGAAGTTATTCTTTGTCTAAATACAGATTTAATTTATCGCGTTTTCAAGACTCATGAAGCATCCAAAAGATGTATACAATGAAATTATCATTGTACCATAAAACTACTCAAGAAAACTTTTTGTTTGGAAAAAATTTTATTTTGAAATCAAACAAAAATTTTAATGCACATTATTTAGTGCGGTCGTCGAGAAGTTATTGTGATCATAGTTGCAGGATTTACTCTTCGTTGTCTCATTTTAAATATATTATGTATTTGTGGTGTAATAAATGCAAAACTAATAGATCCTATAATAAATCCACCTGATATACTCAATCCTTGTAAATGATAAGCTATTGGAATCAAATAATTAGTAATAATATAGTTCATCAATGTAAATACTGTGGCTATACCAATGCCCATTGCAACCAGTACAACAATAAGAATGCGTTTAAGAACAAGTATGTCTCGTCTATTAAGAATTTGTCGTTGCTGTTGAATATGAATTGTTTGACGAGTATATCGGATGATATAAGCATATATTAGACATACGCTTGATATCGGACCAACATACATGATAAGTAAAGCTTGAAAAAGTGCACGAATATTTTTAAAAGAAATCCAACAACTATGTGCAAAAGATGAATATTCAAAATCTTTTGTAAGAAGATGAATAAGAATATAAAGAAAAGATATAAGCCATTGAATAATTATTCCAATAAAGAAAAGATGATGTGATTGTAATCTCTTCTGTTTATAGAAGACTATTCGAAATAATCGAAGAATAGCTTGAAGAACACATGAATAATAAAATGCACATATAAAAACATGAATAAAATAGCCATGTAATTGACATAAATAATTATTACATGAATCTGAAGCATATATATCACCATATATACTATAACTATATATAATGACCATCATCAAAGCTCCAAAGAGTAAAGTAAGGTATGTATTGCATGTAAGTAGAACTGGAACATTTGATATTAATGGATGAATACGCTTGTAGACGATGACAAGAATGAAAATAGAAATAAGAAAAGACATACACGATAAAATCAAAATAATGCTATTAAGAAATAATTCGACGTTGAAGGTCATAAATGAATTAATTAATAGGACTAAATATGTACAATGTGTCATTAATAAACAGGATGACTCAAAAGTAAGGAAACACCAAATTCTTTTCAATTTTTTCTTAACAGACCGATAGTTGGATCTCATATTTTGACCACACATACGAGATGATAATATTCAGAAAAGCAGCCTATCGTTAGTGTTTGCCCTTAAGATTTTATGGGAAAATGCTCGAATGTTCTATTATACTCCATCTTTCTCTAGTTTTCTGTGCAAGAAGTCTAAAATAACATAAGAATCAATAGAATTTATATCATCGAGTAGGTTTTTATGCAAAAAGACAGAAAGATACAAAAAAAAATACCACAGGGGAACAATCCATCTTTGCAGTGATCACATTAGAGTACAAAAGAAAAAATCTTATGTTTTTCAAAAAAAAAAAATCTTAAGGGCAAAAAGACTGACAATAGGCTGCTTTTCTGAGCATTAATGTATATTATACGTGGTTCAAATTATAAGATGTAACTATCGATCTATTAAGAAAGAATTGACAAGAATTTGGTATTCTCTTGCTTTGTTTCTTTACTTTTGAGTCACCCTGTATTGACTAAAACTCGAAATATTTATTTACTTTATTTTTACGAATATAAATATAACAAATATGAAAAATGACATCGATTTGTATTTACGACTTTATTTATTTGTTGAAGTAAATACTCAGTTTATTTATGGATATCTCAAGTCAACCGTTACGGATCATCTTAACTTCACTATCCCAGTCAGACAAACCAAGTAAAAAAACGCGTTGAAGTTTTGACAAATATTAAAACGCCAAAAGCATACATTTTTATGATTGCCTTTTCGTTCAAGAAACTTAATACGTTTGATTTCTCAACTGAGTCAACTGTTAGAGATTATACTTTTATTTAGATTTCATTGACTGGAAAAATAGTTTAGATGAGTTCTTAGTTAGTATAATCTTGTTAATTGTAATAACTAAGAACACATTCTAACTATTTCTTCAGTAAACTAAGTCTAAGAATGGTACAGCTCATCAAGTTCGGACCCAGCAATATTTCGAACCTGATGAGCTCTAAGGGATAGGACTATTTTCTCAACTCAAAAGTCACATCCCCAATAACAAGTGAAACTGTACGATAAAAACTATTCAAACCACATAAATTCCATATAACAATGCGTAAGAGTAACATATTTATAAAAAATGCTTGATTACGTTTGACGTTCATTTTTTTTGTGTTTTTCGCATATTGTAGGATGATTTTTAGTAAATTATTTTCTTATTAATAATAGCAGTTTATTTTAATAGATTTTCGATAATAATATAGACATTACTTTTTAAGTAAATATCCTCAATCAAATGGAAAAATATAAAAAATTGAACTGAGTTAGAAATTTATAAAACACTGTATATAATAATAATCAGAACTTATTAAAAATATTTAACTAATGCTATTTGCTTCTTTCTAATCTCTACTGAAATAAACAGAAAAACTAAACAACAGAAATTTCCCTTTTTTTTTTTCTAAAGAATAAATAGCACGATGAAAGACTGACATGACGGCTAACGTTTGATCGTTTCACATATTTCTATGTTGCCTCTGGTAGAGTCAAATATTTCACTGGAAGCACTAAAATTTCAAGACTAACCTAAACTGATTCGCTCGTGTGGAAGTACTAATCTACTAATGATATCAGATATTAATAGACTATACGACCGAAAAATGCAATAAAATAATAAAAATCATGCTATATCATGTATTGGATAGAAATGAAAAAGCTGCAAAGAAAGAATCAGTGATTAATATGAGAGAGAAGGAGCATTAACACTATTGTTTAACAAATATACGACTGAATGGGAGAATCTTGGAACTGAACGAGATAGTTAACTGAAATAATACAAATATAAAAAACATTAAACTGATAATAATTGAAAAGAAAGAACGAAAGATGCATGTCAATGTGTTCATCAACTGTTGGATCACGTAAATTACTTTTGGCGAACTTGGAGTGTTTTCTTAGAATGAAGACCAACTAAAGATCAAAATTATTCTCAACTAAGATGCTCTGTGCAGTATATTCTTCTAAAGAGATGACGGCTCAAGAAAACGGAAACATGTTGTCAAAAGAGATCAGAGAAAAAAGTACTCATAAAAGCGTGAATTTTTATTTCAATGTCTCCATAATGAAATTATATTTTTTTCTGCTTGACAAAGTGGAAAATGTTATTTTTCATATTTTGTAAATGTGTTATTTGTATCTACATGACCACTACTTTAATACGAACTTCGCTAAGTGATGCTTTTAGTTATATGCAATATCAAGATGTTTTACTTCTGCAGAAGAATTGTTTTCCAGATCCTATTTGGAAAGATAAGTTTTCAGCTTTGCACTACGTCCAGACATTGTTTCAACAGATAGGACCCAGTCGATCGAGAATTATTTTATGAGTTCTAGTGATCTGAAGCATTCTCTCCGAGAACCTTTCAGATCAGCGACTAGTCATTCGTTCGTGTCATTCACGACTGGTCTCTACCGTGCAAAAGTCTACGTCACCAATAGACTTTCCTGTTTCATCTACAATCTAACTGATTCATGGTTAGTTTGTTGCAGACAATTATTCTATGACTAATGAGAATTTTCGATTGAAAATTGAAAATACTACAACTATTGTTGAAATATCTATCGATTGAGTACCTTCCATAGACGGCTATGCAATATCAATGTGAACAAGCAACTTATTGCTTAACTCTCAATGAAGAGAAACTCAACATCAGCAAGAAATGCAAAATGAATCTATGTGCCTTGCTCAGTTCCAACATTGAAACTCTAATTGGCTCAAAGTGATACATGAAAAAATATTTTACGCGCTGAAATTTCTGCCTGAAAAAAGAAATCATACGAAACTTCGACACCAACAATAGCATATAGGCTGAAATTGTAAGCTCAAAAAACCTCATTGAACAAAAAACTAGAGTACGAAAACATCTAATTGACTGAACTGTCAGTATTGAAAAAGTCCTTTTTAAATACATCCTAGAAACTCTGGAATATATATGTACACATGACTATATACGTGCTAATAAACATGAAACCATAGCCACAAACTCAGTTTATTTCATGTGATCCTCCTTCAGTCAAGGGAATTATTGTTTTATTTTCGACTTAGTCGATTGCTGAAAAGAAAAAGGTGATATTAGCAGATTGAACTCGTCTTTTCTTCAAGAAATTTATTGGCTGGTTTTTCAATTAATACACCTTTTAAAATATCAATAAACAGTGAGTTCGTGCAAGACGAAAATTATATATACACATGCTCTTATATTTGATTAACTGCACATATTTCGTATATGTAAGAGAGCTGATGCAAGTATGCTTTTTATTCTCTTTTCATATATTAATTAAAGGTAACCATTCGTTTCATAGGAGGCGAAGAAAATAACATAATAGACATGCTCTTCTGCCTGACTGCTTGTTTTTTCGCTAACGTAAAAGGAGGGCAATCTATGCATCAGTGATCACCGTTATATAAGAGGATGATAACTGTATTTCTCTTCATATGTTTTTTTCATTTTTTGCATTCGTTCTCTTTTGAATCCAATCACCCTTAAGCATTACTTAAAAGTAACTAAGAATATACTGTTGGTACTTAGTTTACGCTATTTATATGATATTTGTTCATGTCAGTACTTGTTTTCTTGATGAATGGCATGATGGATGTAGAGATGAGTGTATCCTTCTTTACAATCATATCCACACTCACACCTATACCTACAGCCACAGCCACACACCACGAGAATCGGTTACTCTTGTGCATGTACATGGGTGGAGCAGCCTTCTGTCTAGCGTTTGTTTAGCTCAATCTCCTCATTTCATCAACAAGACAAACACTGATACTTTGCATTTCTCTTTAACTGCTCATAACATCAAGAGCGTCTCGAAAAGGTCATGATTTAAGTGAAGAGGTCGCCAACAAAGTGCAAAATATTTTATTCACTCAGTTGTTAAGAATCAAATATTTTCTTTGATCGACAAAAATATTCTCACGCTTTCAATAGCTATTTCCTGATCAAAACATTCTTATAAACAATAATAGGTATTATTGACACTTAGAAATCCAGCAAAAACAAGGATTTCTCTTCAAATGCCCTCTAAATGGCTAATATATTTCTAATTCATTATGAAGTTGATAGAAAGACAATCTGTCTGTCGATTCTTTCACTGGGAAAAAAGAGAACTTCCCATCTTTAGAGTGCCTAAATAGACTTTACACCAAACACCGAATCCGAACTGTGGTTTTCTTTTTTTTCGCTTTTAAGAGGAGTGCTACATTACCATTACTAATATTAAGTATCAACTAATATTGTTATTAATTATTACTGGTATTAGTAATCATATTTCGAAGTAATAAAAGTAGAAAAGGCAATGAAACAATAGAGTAATAAAGTAATAAGTGTTAATACTTGTTACTAGTAATTGGTAATGATCACTAAAAAAGTATTAAAATAGTGCACAAACAAGATAATAGAAATGCTTATGGTCATTGATTCGATGTCCACTTCCACACTAATGCATTATGACAATGTTAGATTTCGTTTTTTCAAACATACATTGGTCTCAATATTTATACATTAATGACGGAATAAACATAGTTTCTGGACTGTGGAGACCAAGGTCGATTGAAACGATACTTTACCACAAGAAAAAGCATTAATTTAGTCGAATTATTAGGTCTTGTTTATCCAAGCCGAAATACTACTCCTCTCTTTCTTTGCTATTTTATACAATTGTCATTATTAAACACCTTGAATCATATGAGTGCAGAGTAGCACAACATTTTTCATATTTTGAAAAGATCAAAGTTTGTATTTTAAACTGAATCCATTAATAAAAAGGGTTCATTGCTCTAATATAGCTGCTCTATACAGTCAAAGACATTTTTGTGAACAGAA